GCCGCATTCTATAACTACTATAAGCAACATCAGGAGGAGGGTATGTACTTAGTCTATGTCTCTGCTGCAGGCGAGCCGGTGAAAATGCCTCCGGAAATAGAGGGAGTAGTTGCCAAGTACCCTGATCTATTTGAAGAGCCAATAGGGGTTGTTGATAGGGAGGTCATCCACGCGATAGAGATTATCCCAGGGTCTAGTATTCCGAAGGGTAGGATCTATCGGATGTCTCCAGGCGAGCTTGATGAGCTTCGCCGCCAACTCAAGGAACTCGTAGAGAAGGGTTGGATCCGGCCGAGTGTCTCTCCTTACGGATCTCCAGTACTATTCGTACCTGAGAAGAAGGAGGGCACTCTCAGGATGTGCATTGATTATAGGGGTCTCAATGCCATCATTGTAAAGAACAGAGAGCCCCTACCGCGCATCGACGATCTGTTAGATAGAGTGCAAGGGTGTCGGTACTTCAGTAAGATAGACCTGAAGTCCAGGTACCATCAGATTGCAATCCGGCCTGAGGATCAACACAAAAACGCATTTCAGACCAGGTACGGCCTGTACGAGTTTGTGGTGATGCCTTTTGGCCTGTGCACTGCTCCTGGCACCTTTCAGCACGCTATGAATCGGATATTCCATGACTACTTGGATAAGTTTGTCATCGTGTACCTCGATGACATACTTATTTTTAGTAAGACTGTCGAGGAGCACGTTGCACACTTGGACAAAGTCCTTAGTCTCCTGCGACAGCACAAGTTCAAGATCAACGGTGAGAAGTGTGAGTTTGGGCGCACCCGTGTCTTGTACTTGGGTCATGAGATCTCCGCGGAAGGGTTGAAGCCCGATGACGCGAAGGTGGCCAGCATTCGTGATTGGCCACGACCTCAGTCTGTGACTAGATGAGATCTTTCTTAGGAATGACAGACTACTACCGGACTTTTGTAAAGAACTGTAGTGTAGTGGCCGCTCCTTTGACTGATCTGACCCACCTTGATACCCCGTGGGAGTGGACAGATGAGTGTGAGGCTGCTTTCAGACATCTGAAGCATGCACTAACGCATTATGAAGTCTTGAAACTTCCCGATCCTGATAAGCCGTTTATAGTAACCACGGATGCTAGCCAATATGGCATTGGCGCCGTGCTTGCGCAGCAGGAGGGGCTAAAGTTGAGGCCTGTTGAGTACATGTCCAAGAAAATGCCATCTCAGAAGTTGGCTAAGTCCACCTATGAGAAAGAACTCTATGCAGTGTTCAAGGCGCTGACCCATTGGAGACACTATCTCCTTGGGAGGTTCTTCATCCTCAGGACTGATCATCAAACCTTGAGATGGATGAGAACCCAACCTGTACTCTCTGACACATTGAAGCGTTGGATAGAAGTCATTGAGCAGTATGACTTTGACCCTCAGTACAGTAAGGGTGAGTACAACAAGGTTGCTGATGCCTTGTCGCGTAGACCTGACTTCTCAGGTGCGCTGATTACTGAGTACAATCTTACGGATGATGTCACTCAATCCTTGGTGGAAGCCTATCGAGAGGACCAGTTTATGGCTGAGATCATACGCAGACTTGAGGCGAAGGATAAACAAACTTCAGTCGAGTTTGAGTTGGTCAATGGCTTGCTGTTTCTCGAGAAGGAAGGGAATAAACGTTTGTGTGTCCCTAATAAAGAGTCTTTGCGTAGTTTGTTTTTAGGCAAGTGTCACGACGCCACCGGCCATTTTGGGTACAAGAAGACCGCAGCCAATTTGCTGCAAAGGTTCTGGTGGCCCACGATGTTAAAAGATGCTAAGCTGTACGTGGAAACTTGTCAAGTTTGCCAACGAGACAAGCCCCGTACTCAGGCTCCTCTTGGGCTACTCAAGCCCCTTCCGATTCCGGAAAGGCCGGGTGAAAGCTTGTCCATGGACTTCATGGATACACTGGTCACCAACAAGAGTGGGATGAGGCAGATCTTCGTCATCGTGGATAGGTTTAGTAAGTATGCTAGGTTAATAGCCATGCCGGAAACAACGAAGACCGAGTATGTAATTTGGTTGTTCAAGGAGAACTGGGTGAGGGATTTTGGATTGCCTAAGTCTATTGTAAGTGACAGGGATGTCAGATTTACAAGTGAGTTATGGAAGGCCGCTGCAGCTGAACAGGGAACTCAACTGCAAATGACTTCTGGAAACCATCCAGAATCAAACGGCCAGGCTGAACAGATGAACCGTGCTGTTCAACACCTGTTGAGGCATTACATTAAGCCCAATCAGGTGGACTGGGACGAGAAGCTTGCTCTTGTCGCCAGTCTGTACAATAACGCTGTACACAGCGCTACCGGGGTAAGTCCTAACAGTCTACATCTTACCTTTAGGCCTAGACTGCCTTTAGACTTCCTACTTCCTGATAACCAGCCAACTGTTACACCGGGCACTTTGGAGTTCGCTTATCATTACGAACAGAAAATGCAGGAGGCTGTAGAGCACATGCAGAAGGTGCAGGCAGCAATGATAGAATCTGAGAATAAACACTGGCGCCCTTCTACATTTCAGGTTGGGGACAGAGTCTGGGTCAAGTCTTCAGAACTGGGACAGGAGTTCGGGATATCCCGCAAACTCATGCCTTAGTACTTTGGACCTTGGGAAGTTTTGGACGTAGTAGGGACAGATACTGATGGTCCATCTTATGTCATCCGTATCCCTGGTCATCTCAGAACTTACCCAGTCTTTCACGCCTCTAAGCTCGCTGCGTCCAAGGAAACTGATCAGTTTCCCTCTCGTCGATCAATGCTGCCCCCAACCATGGACGGAGAAGTCGACATCGATGATATCGTCGACCACAGGGAGATGCTTGTTCAGAAGCCTCCGGGAAGGGGACGTCCTCCAAAGCCAAAGCTGCAGTTTCGTGTCCACTTCAGACATCACACAGATCCAAAGGAGGACCGCTGGTTTACTCGGGAGGAATTGATGCAGACCGCTCCTCAATCGTTGCCCGCTATGAGAAGGATGTATTGAAAGGAAAGCGCCAGATGGCTCAGGATTGATCTTCTCAGAGGACTAACGAAGATATGGAGGAGGGAATGCGAGGCTACGCCCGCTCAGCCCCTTCGGGGCCCTTTTTGCAGCATGCCTGCCGCCCTAAGTGAAGGCAGGCGCGACAGGCCCTCAAGGCCTCGATTTTCAGGGTACCCCGCAACTGGTGAAATTCAGACAGTTGCGCTGCGTGCTAGTGGTGTGATAAGAGCAGACACCCCTAGCACCCTGCGAGGGGCTCCGTCTATTGGTGGGGAGCGTCACCTGCTGGAAACTGGCAACAGGCTTATCTCAGTTGGTGCACCTGTACAACTGTTGTTGAAATGCAGACCGGAGTTCAAATCCAGATGAAAGAAAACTTAAGAAACTTAGAAAAGATGATTTTAATTTTAACTAGGAGGGCTGTGTATGCAATCAGCCATTGCACGCTGGGAGTTTTTATATGGATGAGGTTTTCCAAGGAACGTTGAATGTGCAACGGTCCAACTCAATTTGACTCCAACATCACAACCATGCAAGCTCCCAAAGATCACACAACACTCGCAAAAGCAACGCAACAGAGAGAGATATCAGCAGAAACTCGATATTATAACTCTACAAAGTACAAAATTATTGCAATTGTCCAAACTCAAGTTATCAGGCGGCTATGGCCGCCAGGCCCAAACTCTCTCAGGTATCTACTTCCTCTCTCTCTCTCTCTCTCTCTCTCTCTCTCTCTCTCTCTCTCTCTCTCTCTCTCTCTTTGTGCGAGGCTATGCCCGCTCAGCCCCTTCGGGGCCCTTTTTGCAGCATGTCGGCCGCCCTAAGTGAAGGCAGGCGCGACAGGCCCTCAGGGCCTCGATTTTCAGGGTACCCCGCAACTGGTGAAATTCAGACAGTTGCGCTGCGCCAGTTGGTTGAAGGCGCCCAGGCCCAGGCCATATTTTGCAAATGTATCTGAATGGGGACATGGGCCAGACGCGGGGGAAAGGCCGTGAGCAGGCCAAGGGCAGTTGAGCACATGCAACCATCAGGCCCTGGGCCTGCGTGTGAGGTCTGGGCCTGTGCCTACCGGGGCCTACTGGAAGCTTCCTGGACTGGACGCAGGCAGGCCACTTCGATATAGGGAAGGGCCTGCCTCCTCATTCGGTATTCGGGTGCTAGTGGCATCTGTGTGGTGTGGATCGGGGTTGTGAGTGTTGCGAGAGACATACCTGGTGCTGGAAGCGTGCGGCATTGTCCTCTGTATGCTCGTACTTCAGGAAGCTGTTGTTGTCAACATCGG